TCCTGAAATAATATTCCAATAAAATATAGCTTTTCTGAATTTCTGTCTGAAAATTGTGCTGCGGCCTATACACGCACGCGGCCTATACATGCGTAAATACGGTATATTTTCTTCACTTTTGTTGCCATAAGAGCTTGTTATACTATGACTGCACACACAGCTCTCATCGTGTAATGAAGATACGGAGTTGGCTGTTCTCCACTGAACTGCTTGTTCTCGATACTACTGGCCGAACAGTTTATCATTTAATCGCATCTGCGCGATGCCTCCAAAGTTATGCGGAAGCCCGTCGGCTCTAAGGCACTCAGACCAAAGGCAAATTCAACACCCACAAACAAACGTTAGGAAAAACACAGAAGACATAGTTCCATGTAGTTGAATAGTGATTCATCATGTTGTATAGCCTACAACCACTGAAACAACTTAACTGCACAATTATACACAATTGTACTATCCAGCAGTTTGCGCAAAAGTTACAATGTATTTCGACGCTATATTACTACCTTAAAATCTATAAATATTCAAAACACAAGAGTAACCATTTAACGATATGAGGAATTATACATTTAACAGATCAGTTTTTGCTGTAGCGCTAACGCCCTACATTTGTATTCGTGAAGTCTCTTATGACTCCATTTTCCGGCTTTCAGGCGTCAAGTCACATTTCTCCATCCTAGCGGGTGCTCATTCCGAGTAGCCTATAGGTGTACTGCAGTTCTGCAACTACTCCCTCCTTAGGGCTGCTCGTCTCAACAGGCATTCAAAAGTTGGGGGGGGGGCATACGGACAAGTAAGGCGATCTCCTAAGCCTCTTTTATTTTTAATAAGGAAATTAGGCTGAAACCACGTAAATTATTCTTAGTGGATCCATTAAGATCTGTAAGGTACTCAGTCTATTATACATTAAAATTCTACATATACTAACATTTTAAATTGTTGTACATACATTTCATAGTATGTTGTTCCATAATCCCACAGAGTTTAGCCAGGTATTGAAATTGTGCCCACGTGATAGAGACTTGTGCGTTAGACATATGCGTTGAATAACGCCGGCTGTTGCCCGGTGTTGCATGGGAACTCACCTGGAGCTGGAATTTCTGGAGCCGTGTTCCAGCACGGAAGTGGAGGCCCCACGTTCCCCACCTTGAACCATTCTGGAGCTCCTACTTGTACTTTTCTCGGGTACAAATGTGAACCAGAGTGCTGCTAACAGGCGATGAAGGTTGTCCTGAATATCAGATCCTAGATGGTAGAGCAACTAAAACAAAATTATTTAATTGGTTCAGGCGTACAAGTCTCAGCACCTATAAGAGTGTTTCTACGATGCATGCTCTACTTCGGTAACTTTCGAAATTTAAAGTTTAATATTGAAAATATTTGTAGTGTTTATTATTATATATTATTATATTGAAATCTATTTTTATATCTGTTGACACGTATATCCTTCTCAAGCAATAGCATTTAAAATGTCTCACTAGACATCCTGGATTGGAATCCTAGAAGATAAAGGTGTTACGCTTGCTGTTATATAATCGTAACATTTTATCTCATAAGGATATTTCCTTCAAATACGGCACTTAATAAGGCCACTTACACATGTCTTAGGGGGCACGCGGGAGCGTAGTTGGTTAACTATGCTACAAGTCGAAAGGTCGCGGGTTCAATACCCGACGAGGTCATTGGATTTTTTCCAATTGACCTAATCCTTCCAGCTGCACTATGACCCTGGGGTTCACTCAGCCTCTAACAGATATGAGTACCAGAATTAAGTACCTCTCCTGGGGAATAAAGCGCGGCCGGTGCGTAAGGCTGACCTTACTGCCATCTTTGAGCCGATTGTCTAGATAATGTGGGACCCTCAACGTCTCACAACCCTACGGGCCTTCACGGCCTGGTACAGGGATAGCTTTACTTTTTTTTTTTACTTTACTTTTACTTACACGTGTCTTAGCGTCATAAAGTTGAAATTGAACACTTTTACATCTATGGATTTGATAGCGTATAAATAAGCATATCTTTCCTTATAATATAAATACACTTTGACTGGTGAGTCAAAGTTATTGCTGTACTTAATTAACTCTCTCCATCCTAAATATACCTCAGAAATAATTTTCTGTTGATATATTTCCACGACAAACTAAGCTTTCATTATCAAAAACTTTTAATTGCTGAGGGATGGCAAGATTATTTACTTGCATTCATCTTCCAACTGTCTAATAAATCCAAACATGTGCGGACGTTGCGTCTAACCAAGATATTTTGTTCTTAGCAGAGATATGGTTTATTAAATATCAAGCTATGAAGATGTATCACCACCACCATTCTTAATCTCAGTTCTACATAGAATTGGTCAGCCTCACGCCCCTGTCACGTTACCCTCAGGGAAACAGACCTGATACTTATTGTAGAGAGTGCGCGCATGCGCGGTACCAGAGCCGATATGAACGTTGCGCAAAGACAAGAATCGCATGCCTCTGCCTGAAATCCAACCCCGATACCGCGTATGTTCATCTTGCAGCCTAGTCAGTTTACCGACTGAGCCACAATAGACTAAAATTACTTCTCAGTAACAGATTTCTGAAATTCATGAATTTCACGAACCTGTTTCTGTGTCGCTGTGTCCGTCTATCGTCCTGGGGAATGAATGTATTGTTGTGCCTTGTGTTGTGAGTATGGATCGTCTACCTAGGAGAGTTTCCGCGACTGCGCAGAAGTAATGTCTGACTGAGAATACTTACGCTACGGGACGTGATGGAGTTGGGTTAGAACCTGAAGTTCTAGTCGGTTTCCAGCGTTGCCTCTGCGGCTCCCTTTTCTGGTGTAGAGGTTCTTCGCAAGCCTGCAGACACATTGATCACTCTCATTCAGTATAACAATTAATTTAATAAAAACCACAGTGTCTGCAAATCTGACAATATTTGAATTTGTTCCGACTTCGTCGGACAGCCTAACTACATGGAGGATGAGATCATGTGATAAGGCAAGAGGAGATGAGAGGGCCAAATGTCGATAGCAAAACCTCAAGAGCAGCGACCTTGCAGGACAGAGTTGTTCAAATGGATCCCGATGTTCTGGGCGATGGGCAAAGGGCGATGATGCAGGAAACTCAGTGGTGCACTGGCCGATGGAGCCTCCCCGCAAAGAACGACCTAGGCTGCTGATGGAAACATTGCACCATCATTAGGCCTCACGTCTTCTTCTGACTCGGCTCTGCAGTGCTTCATTAAGGTGGCAGAACACGACGAAACATGCGAACGGGTTTCATTTGAACAACCCTCGATCTCATAGAAACAAAATGCGAGGATGAAGAGAAGATTAAACTGGCTCAGGATTGGGACAAATGGCAGGAATTTATGAACACTGTAATGAAAGTCCGGGTTAAAATTAATTTCTAGAGTAGTTTACCAGCTCCCTGCTTTTCAAAAAAACGCTTTGTACCATATATTTTATTTAATTATCTGTCATCACTATCCTGACTGAAGGCGAGTTCGAATAACTCCACCGTAGCCCAGCGAATCGTGGAAGGCGACGAAAAGGGAACACAGTGCCTGGGGGTATAACTGAGTCACACTGTCACTGGGTGACGTTTCTTATTTTTTTTTATTGCTAGTGGGGTGGGACTAAGTCCCTTGCAAGCGGCCTCCGTAGTCTAGGGGTAACGTTCCCACCTCATGCATGACTCAAGGTACGCGGGTTCAAACCTGCGGAACGGCGGAAAAATTCAAGGAACAAGTCCTCCGGGAGGGACTTTAAGCCGTGGGTCCCGTGTCGTAGCTTTACGGCACGTAAAAGAACCTCGTGTCTCAAGGAGACCTCTGAGCAAAATTATAGGACATTTCCGCCCAACAGTAGTTTCTAACGCCTCTGGTAGATGGGGAAGCATCAAGGTACCGCTGAGCCAGTAGAAGCCGAACTCGCTGGCTAAGCCAGGGCTGATGGCACGCACCAGTACCGGTAGGGTGTAGAGACTGGTAGAATATCAAAGGGGACGTACAATAGATCAAACTGGTCGCGGTGCATAGGGAAACCCACCCCCTCCAACAACAACAACAACAACAATAATAATAATAATAATAATAATAATAATAACAATAATAATAATAATAATAAGTCCCTTGTACTGCGGCCACTTCTGGCCTATTGTACCAGCCCCAGATGAGAGATGAGGGTGATTGTGGAGC